TAAAAGAAATTCCTGCAATTTATATTTGCTACAATAGATACAATTTGTAATGTAATTGGCAAATGCTTTCCAGTATTGTTTCAAAGAATGATTTATTGTTCTGATGACATATGTTCAGCATGTGTCTTTCCAATGATTTATAAGTGACATGAATAGTTGCATCTAACATTTACAAACATCATTAAAAAAGCTTTCAATTAAATAAAAATATTGTCTTTATCATACAAACCTTAGAAAGAATTAGTGCCAATCACTGTTTTGGAATAGCTCCCAATTAGAATAATGTTAGCTTTTAAAATTTAAGAAATAAAGTTGATTTAATTTTTCTTAAAAAATGAGACACCAGTAATCTATTTAATAATTTTGTTCCATTATTATAAAAATTGTAATATTTTGTGTAATTATTAAGTCTTTAAAAACTTGAACTAAAATTTATTTTAATTATAAATTCAATACATGTTTATATTAATTAAATTTTTAAAGAATTTGAATTTATAGCATATGACTTTAATAAGCAATATAATGTTAATTAATTAACAAATTTAAATTAATTTTTTATTCAAATTTTATCAATGAAACAATGCCTATACTGAATTAAATGAAATTTTAAAATACAAAGCAAATGTTTATATTTCTTAAAGTTTGTTAACTATGTGCAAAAAATTTATTTTTATTAGCACTGTTGATTAACTATGATAATTTTTCCTTTGATTAAAATTAATCATTAATCAAGTATCTGGGTAAATCTGGAAGTGAAATAAAGGTTGAAATTTGTGTTCTTTGAGTTGTGTGTGAATGCTTTGAATGATGTTTAATATCTTTTATATCATCTACATCTGTCTGGCACATTATTAAAAATGGTAAGTTTGTGGCAATGATTATCATCTCTTGTAGTGCTGCTTGGCAGTCCCACAAAAGCAGATACCAATCCAACTTTTGTGGCATTGGCAGTGTTTCCACACTTCTAACAGCAACTAGTAATATTGATTTGTTGCATTACATGTAATTTATTATAATGAAACATTTGAAGATATGGATGGATCTCAATGTAGAAACTTAGAAAGTGTTAAATATCTATTAATCCCTTAAATTAATGTTTAGTTTCTTATTGAAATAAGAAAATAATTTAAAAATGTAGTCTTTAAACATTCGTCTCAATTATTTTCATATATCTTGAATATCTACATCATTTGTGCAGTAAAAAAAAAAAATGCAACTTGTCATTTGTGGCTGCTCTTCTGCAGGCAGCATTGTGATTTTGATAGCTGCTATTACATGTTGCATTTGTCTTAACAGTATCAGAATATGAAATCTGTACTTAAGAGTTTTGAATCTCTTTTTGTTGGCCAATTATACCCATGATTTTTATTGCACATGCTTTTACTGATAGGAGATTGGCTGCCATAATTTGAAAAACTATATTTATATCAAGTGATTATTCCTACCATATTTTTTCTTTATATCTTCATTTACAATCATAAACACCAACAAAAAAGGTAGCACATATCCAATCTTTGAAAATAAACTTAAGCATTTCAAGCTACTTCCTCAAATTCTGGCAAGTAATATTCGTGTGTAAAAATTTTATTAAAGAAATGTTTTTTGTTTTGGTATAATTTGATTTTTATCTAATAGAAATGATAATGAATCTGAAATGGTATTATCTGTTGAATGTTATAAATCTGAATCTGATGCTGAATAGAATGCTTTGCCATTATAATGGATAATATATTAAGATTACATCCATATATTTATTTAGTTATATTGGAATATCTGGCAATGCTTATAGTTTGGTTTTACTTGAGCTTCACTAAAAGTGTATTTCATTCAGTATTCATCCAACTTGAATCAGTTTAGTTGTCTTGATAACTGATTTAATTGAAGAAAAAGAAATCTTTAAATATTTCAGGATTATAGTTCTAATAATAATAATAATAATAATAATAATAATAATAATAATAATAATAGCAATTAGGCAGGCTGACACAATACACTAAAAACAACATAACACCCAAATTAAAGAAACAACTCAAAAACATTTTCAAGAAAATCAAAACACACACAAAACACGAACATCACAACACACACATTACAGAATACATCGATACACTAAAACAAAAACTCGCAGCCAAAGCACGTAGACTCAAACGATACAAAACATGTACACTACGAAAACAACAAAATAAATTATTCACAAACAATGAAAA